TACCTTTTTCCAGTTGCCATTTGCTTGGTATATTTTTCCTGCCACCTTTTTATTATTTGTCTTTATCTTCATTTTTCAAGTGTGTCTCTTGTAGACAACATATTGATGATTTGGTTTTATATCCAATCTGTTACTCTTTTTCTCTTCAGTGGTGCATTTAAACCATTCACATTCAGTGTGATTATTGAGAGGCAAGGTTTTATTGCTGTCATTTTGTTGAGTTCTTTTTGGTGTTGTTGCTAGTTACTTTGGTCCATCCTGCTTTCTGTGGCACCTCTGTAAGAAGGGCATCTCTCAGTGTTTTCTGCAATGCTGGTCTTGTTTTCACAAACTCCCTTAGGTTCTCTTTTTCTGGAAATATCTTCATCTCTCCTTCGTATTTGATGGACAATTTTGCTGACTACAGTATTCCCAGTCAACAGTTGTGTTCTTTGAGAGTTCAAAATATGCCATTCCAGTGTCTTCTTGCTCATGTGGTTTCCACTGAAAAATTGGCGCTTAATCTTATTTGCTCTCCCTTAAAAGTTACTCTTTGTTTCTCCTTCACTAATTTCAAAATTATCTCCTTATCTTTGGTTCTGGCAATTTGACTATGATATGTCTTGGTGTTTTTCTTTTGGGGTTTATTCTAGATGGTGTTCTCTCAGCTTCTTGAATATATATTCTCTCATTCTCCATTATTCCTGGGAAGTTTCCTTCTAGCAATTCTTCCATAACTTTTTCAGTGCCTTTACTTGCTTCTTCCTGTTCTGGGATTCCAATGATGTGCATGTTATTTCAATTGATTGTGTCCCACATTAATCTTAGGTTTTCTTCTTTTTTCTTCCTTTTTTTCATCTGCTTTTTACTCTGGCAGATCAGTGGTGATGATTCTGATCTCTTATTTCTCACTAGTTCTGTGTTCCATCTCTTTAACTCTATTCATGTGTCCCTCCATCATGTTGGCAGCATCTGAAACATTGGACCTCATCTTTTGGATTGTAGTTTCTTATTTTTCCAGTACCTCTAATGCCTTGTTTGTTTTATTTGTATTGTTTTGGATTGTTTTTTTAAGCTCTTCCTTGTTTTTGCTGCAGTGTCCTGTAATTGTTCAAGTTTGTTTTTCACCAACTGAAAATACTCATTCATTGTTCTTTTAAATTCTGTGTCAGAAAGTGCCATTAGACTTTCTGGCTTCAGGAAATTCATTGAAACTGTGTCACTTTGGGGGGGGTGACATCTTGCTTTGGTCTTGTGTAGGGAATGAGGTAGCCTGCTTCTTTCATTATATTGCTATGGTAGAGTTTTTTGTGCCTGAAGTGATAGCCAGTTCTTGATCTGACATCACTGGTCCAGAAGAAAGTTTGTCAGGTGCACACAAGGATGCATGTAGGGTGGGTGCACACACAGACGCACACTGGGCTGCAGGGATGGAACACACATGCAGATGCTTGTGGGGAAGGAGGACATGAGGGGAGACCTGAATGGAATACCAGAAAGCCTTGGTTTTCAACTTGAGAATTGAGTCTGCCATCCCATTTTAGCTACAGCTGTCTCACTCCATCCTGCTTAAGTGAAAGTTTCCCAAATTGCTCCTGCAATCAGCAGTGATTACCCCCCACCCCAAGTACCTCACTCATATTCCTGCTGTCTAACTTGCTCCTGGTTAGTGGGTCCTGTGGCGGCTTGCTGCTCCCTGTTGAGGATTGCTGTTTCCTGCTGAGGCTTGCTGCTCCATTTTAATCTGAATGACCAAGGAGGAAGGCTGTTGTTCCCTTCTGGAAGTGTCTTCTGACCTCTGTTCAGGTGCCCAGGACCTCCCTGTTGCCTGAGTTAAGGGATCCTGCATATTCAAAGCTAAACAGCAGTTTCCCCCCAAATAACTGTGGGAGCAGTGGAGGCCACATTGTTGTGCTTCGTGCTGCTACATGTGCTTTTTTTATAATGACCTTTCTTTGTCTCTTTTCTTCAGATTGGAAAAAATGAAAAAAGAATATAGAAAATTGAGTACTTGGGCAGAAAAAGTCAACTATTTGGAAAGCGTTTTTACTCCAGAACTGCAACAGAAAGAACCTAAGGTAATTACCCAAACACATTCTCCCAAAGAACTTTAACACTTTTCATTACAAAGAAATTATTGTCAATAAAATGATGGTCATATTTTTGTTCCTATAAAATGCTATTTATTTGTTTACATCTTCTTTTTTAAAAAGGTGGTAATTAATAAATATTTATTGATTATAAGGTTTACTTTTTAAACCTTATTGAAACATATTTCAATGGCCTTTATATGCAGAGTTATGGATCCATTGCCATATTGATTTTTAGAACATTTTTGTTTCCTGCAAAGAAACCACATACCCACTACTTGGCACTTTCATCTCCTTTATTTCCCACTAGTTCTTGATAATGAATATATGTTCTTCATCTACAGATTTGCCTCTTATGAGCATTTCATATAAATGGGACCAAGCAACACAGCATCTTTTGCTTTTGATGTCTTTTCACAGCATGTTTTGTATGTTTCTTCATATTGTAGCATACATCATTATTTTTATGGTAAAAAATACTATTGCATGGATATATCACATTTTGTTCACGCATTAACAAGTTGGTATACATTTGGGTGGATTCTACCTTTAAGATGTGTTTCTATTTATATTTGTGCGCAACTGTTTATGTGAAAATATGTTTCGTTTTCTTGGGTGTATACCTAAGAATAGTAGTTGATGATGTTATTGTTAAGTGCTATGGAGTCGACTGTAACTCATGAGGACCCTCTGAACCTTGCTCTATCCTGTGTCATTCTTAAAATCTCCACCACATCCATTGTTATAGGCACAATGGCCATCTATTATGTTGAGAATATTTGTCTGTTTTTCTGACTCTCTACCTTTCCAAGTATGATATAATTTTCCAAGGACTGGCCCTCCAGACAACATACCTAATGTTTATAAGATGAGGTTTCACCATCTTTGCTTGTAAAGAGCACCCTGGCTACACTTCCTCCAAGATAGATTTGTTTGTCCTTTTGCCATTCCACAGAATATTCAATACTGTTCATCAGCACCACAGTTCAAAAACATTGATTTTTTAAAAATTCTTTATAAGAGCAGAATTATTGAATCATATAGGAACTATGTGCTTAATTTTCTGACAACTGCCTAACTGCTTTTGTACAGTGGTGACCCTAATATTCCTACCAGAAATGTATGAAGGTTGTCAGTGCTCCATATTTGCAACCACTTGCTATTTTCTTACTTTTTTTTCCTTGTTTGTCAGCAATCCTAATAAGTCTGAAGAAGTATCTCACTGTGGTTTTTATTTTCATTTCTGTACAGATGGCTCACAACAGTAGATCCTAACACTGCTGGTCATCTTTTCATGTGCTCATTGGCCACTGTATATCTTCTTTGGAAAATATTTACTGAAATTCTTTACCCACATTTTAATTGGAATGTTTACTTCTTTATTGTTAAATCTTAAGATTTCTTTATATATTCTGGACACTAGACGCTTCTCAGTATTATTGTTGTTGTCGTGGTGGTTATTGTTAAGTACTGCCAAGTTGGTTCTGACTCTGAACCACCAAACAAAATGCTGTGTGGTCCTCTGCCATCTTCATAATTGGTACAGTGTTTGAGCCCAGTGTTCTAGCCACTGTGTCAGTCCATGCCATTGAGAAATTTTCTCTTTTGATTTTTGCTGACCATCTTTTTCCATCTTAATAATAGATTTGAAGCATTGAAAACTGATGATAGATGACCAGATGAGCTGTCAGATGACTTCAAGGATATCATCCAGGAATAAAGCAAAAGATCGTTAAAAAAAAATCATTACAAAAATAGGAGCGAAAGCAAAGACCAAGATTAATGTTAGAAGAGACTCTGCAGTTGCACTAGAATGTCAGGAAGCCAAAACAAAGAGAAAAAATGACAAAGTAAGATGGCTGAACAGATTTCAAAGGGCAGCATGAGAAGACAAAGCAGAGTATTGTGACAAAAATGTGCAAAAAAGCTGGAGTCAGAAAATAAAAAGGGAAGAACTCGCTGGAGTTCTTCAAGTAGCAAGGACCGAAGAGCAAATTCAAGCCTCAATTTGCAATACTGATGCTGTTGGCAAAATCTTGAATGATTCAGGAAGAATCAAATGAAGATAGAAGGAATATACAGAGTCACTGCACCAGAAAGAATTGGCTGACACAGAACCATTGCAGGAAGTAATACATGAGCAAGAACCAATGGTAATAAATTATTTCAAGCTGTACTGAAGGCATTGACAAAAAATAAAGCCCCAAGAATAATGAAATACTAACTGACCTGTTCCAACGAACTTATACAATGCTGGACATACTCAACAGGATGTGCCAAGAAATCCTGCCAACTGACTGGTAAAGATCCGTATTTCTTTCCAGTCTCAAAAAAATGCAATCCAACAGAATGTGGACATTATGGAGCAATATATGGCCTAATGGTAAGAGGCTGCACTGCAATCCTGAAGGCACACACTTTGAAGCTACCAGCTGCTCCACGGAGAATGGATAATCTTTTAGGCTATTTACTGCCTCCGAAAACCCACTGAAATGTCAGCTTTGGGTAAGTTCCAACTTAGTGGCACTCGGCTGAACAACAACAACATCATATCAAATGAAAGCAAAATATTGCTGAAGATTATTCAGAAGTGGCTATACATTGACAGAGAACTATAGGAAATCCAAGCTGGGTTTAAAAGTGACTATGGCAGCAAGCGTATCATTGCTGATGCCAAAAGAAAGTCTGTGTCTTATTTGTGTATGCAAAGGCATTTGATTGTGTAGACAAATTATGGCTAATATTGTAAAGAATGGAATTCCAGAACATTAACCGTGCTCATGCAAAATCTAAACCTGTTGTCTGAACAAACCAAGAAGACACTGCATGAGTTAAAAAGTGTATGTCAGAACTGTATCCTTTCTCCACACCTATCCAAGCTAAACAAATCATTCAAGAAGCTAAACTATGTGGAGAAGAATGTGGCATTCTTTGATATTGGAGGAAGACTTAATAACCTGCATTATGTCGATGACATAACCTTGCTTGTGGTATTGCAGGAAAGTACTGTAGATCCCATAGACTGCTACAAGAATAAGTCTTAGAGAAGTGGAACCAGAGTGTTCCTTATAAGCAAGGACTGTGAAACTTTGTCTCACAAACTTTGGGCATGTTCTTTGGAGGGGACAGTCCTTAGAGAACATGATGCTTGGAAAAGTGGAGCGTCAGCGTAACAGAGAAAGACTTTCAACTAGATGTGTTGACACAGTGACTATAACAGTGGGTTGAAGTTGTCAGAGATAGTGAGGATGACATAGGATAAGACAGGTTTTATGTCTGCTGCTTATAGGTCATTATATATTGGAGACAACTTGGCAACTACTTTTCAAGGGGCCGGGCCCTTCTGTTGATATATCCAAAGTGCATGAGACCAGGTGTTGCTACACTTGTTTCTAAGGATCATTCTGGCTGTACTTCTTCCAAGACATATGTGTTTTTTCTTCTGGCCATCCAAGGGTATAGTTGGTCTTTTAACAACATGGAAACTTGAAAGTATCAATTATTCAGTCTTTATCCCTTGCTCCATTTTCACATACGTATGAGGTAACTAAAAATACAAAACTCGAGTTGGATGTACCTTAAACTTCAAAGTGTCATCCTTGTTCTTTAACACTTTAAAGAATTCCTTGGCCAAAGATTTTCCCTGTGCAATACATCATTTGATATCTTAACTGCTTTGTCTATAGATGTTCCCTATGGATCCAAGGAAAATTAAATTCTTAACAGCTTTAGTCTTCGATTTATCATGATGTTGCTTATTGGCCCAGTTTGAAGTTTTTGTTTTCTCAGTATTGATTTGATCTTTTATCCATAAATGCTTTTAGGTCTCTTCATTTTCAGCAAGCAAGATGTGATGTAGATCAAGGTTGTGATCCACATATTAAAGACCAGTAATGGTTCTTTCTCAAATCTTGATGTTAATCTTGTGTTCTTCATGTAGTCCAACTTTTCAGATTATTTTCTCACATTTGAGCATACCTTTGGCCAGTGGTACACAAAAAGATGCTCAACATCATTAGTAATTGGTGAAATGCAAATAAAAACCTCAATGAGATATGCTTTACTCCAATAGGATGACTGTTCTCAGAAAACTTGGAAATAACAAATGTTTGGTGAGGATGTGGAGAAATTGAAAGCCTTATCCATTGATAATGAGTTTGTAATATTGTGTTGTTGTTGTTGTTGTTGTTGTTTTTATGAGTCGTCTAGTCACCTGTGACTCATGGCAACCCTTTACAATAGCTCTAAACAAAACAAAAAAAAATCCAACAAAAAACTTGGCCGTATCCTGTGCCAATTTCACCATCTCTGACACACCTACTCCCATTATCCCAGTTACTATCTCAGTCTATCTCATCTCAGGTCTTCCTTACCTGTGCTGTCTCTCTGCCTTTCAGAGCATGATGTCCTTCTACAAGGACTTCTCCAAGCATTGTTTTTTTCTGGCAACATGGCCAAAGTATGTGAGTTGGAGCTTCAAAATCTTTGTCTCCAAGGAGCAGTTTGGTTTCACCCTCTCAAGGACAGACTTGTTTATTCTCTTGGCAGTCCATGGTATATTCAGTGCTGTTCTCTGTACTGCAATTCAAAGGCATTCTTTTGTCATCCGTAGTCACTGTCCAGATCTCTGATGCATAGCAAGTAATTGTGAAAACCATGGCTTGAATTATGCACACTTTAGTCTCTATACTGACATCGTGGCTTCTCAGTACTCTGGAGGGGTACCCGACAGCACATTTTTCCCCAATGCAGTTTGTCTTTTGATTTCCTGACTGCTGATGCCATGAGTGTTGATTGTGGAACCAAACAAGGTGAAATTGTTAACAATCTCAGTCTCTTCACTGTCTATCATGAAGCTGCCAGTTGGCCCAGTGGTGAGAATCTTTGTCTTCTTGATGTTGAACTTCAATCTATATTGAAGGCTGCAGTCTTAGACCTTCTGCAGCAAACATCTCAGGCCCTCCTCAATTTCAGCAAGCAAGGTTGTTCCATCTGTATAGCTCAGGTTGTTGATGAATCTTCCTCCAATCCAGATGCCACATTCCTACTCATAAATTCCGGCCTCTTCAATGATCTGTTCTTTAAAAACAGTTTGATGATTCCTGGGAATGTTAAAGATAGAATTATCCTAAACTGAAAAAAAACAACCCAAAGCCACTGCAGTAGAGTCAGTTCCAACTTTAAAAAATTAGCAAGTTAGGAAGGCCTCAATCCCCTATTTATCTCTTAAAATTTTTTCTCAGTATATTTTTTTAACTTTGCTTCTAGAGAATTAGTTATCAGCAAGGTACTTGGAACCCTAGAGCATAGTACAGCACTGCCTATCAGGTTTCTAAGGCTGTTTCTAAGGCTACAGATTTCTCCTGCAGGGTGACTTATGGTTTGAAGTGCCAAACTATTGGTTAGCAAGTGAGCACTGAACCACACAGCAGTTGAACCACCATGCCACCAGGACTCCAGAATAAAATTATCACCTAGCAGTTCTACATTCCGGTATATTATACCTGAGAGTCTTGAAAGAGGGATTCATACAGACAATTGTGTGACCAAAGTTGATTGCATTGTTCACAGTAGGTAAAATGTGGAAGTCAAATGCCCATAAAGAGATGAATAGATAATAGAATGTGGTTATGCATGTAATAGAATGTTATTCATCCCTTGAGAAAAATCAAGTTCTGATATAAATTATAATATGGATAAGCCTTGAAAACTATACACTGGGAAAAACAAGTCAGATATTAGCATAAATATTGTATGATCTGAAATGAAATATACAAAATACCAAGAATCAGCAAATGCATAGAGTCCAAAGTTTATTAGTACGCTTGTGGGGTGGGTGGGATGGGAGAATGGGAAGTTAATGCTGAAGTGGCACTGAGTTTCTGTTAAGGGTGGGGAAATATTTGAAGCAATAGAAATGATAATTGTATAATATGGTAAATGTAACCAATGTCACTAAATTTGACATGTAAAAAATGTCTCAGTTTACAAGCTTTATGAGATATTTTACTAAATAAATTTTTGTAAAGATAATCTGCCTCCTTGGGTTATATTCTTAGACTGCTTGAAGTCACACAATTATGGAATTTCATTTACTATCTTTAACTTACAAATATTTTTAAATTATTTTTATTGGTTTGCATACAGTAATTTGTTTACATTGTATTTCATTCCTGCACATTGGTTGGGTTTGGGGGGTTCCCCCCCTTCCTCCACTCACCAAACGCTGTTATCCTGTGATTTCTCTCACACCCCACTCTGAGACGCCTTGCCCCCACTCTTCCCCCGTGCATATCCATACACGTCATACTGGTTATCCTTCTGTTTTTACAGTAATGTTCTTCTACAGTATTTGTTCTTATGCACCTGAGTTACTTCACTTAGCATGCTCTCTACTCCCTCCCATGTTATATAGTATTTTTTCAAGATTATTACTCACCTCACATCTATTAATTATTAACAATCTTTACCCAATCTTGGATCTCTTCACCTTGGAACGCCAACTCCCAGTCTATACTTCTCTCTCAGAAAACTCACACTCACTTCCATGGAGTCAGTTCTGACCCATAAACCCACCATTAGGTTTTCAAGGTTGTAAATCCTAAAGGGAGAAGACTGCTTGTCATTTTACATAGACCCACTGGTGAATCCCAGAGAGGTGTGTTCTTGAAGTTAGTAGCAGAGCTTGCTTTTTCACTACATTACCGAAGCAGCCCTATGTTTCTCTTCAGAACAGTGTTACGTAGATTATTTTACTCACAAAGTCATCTTCTTGTCCTTTGTAGGGGAAAAAGACGGTCTTTTGTATGAAAAATAATTATGAAGGAAAATGAAAACTGTTTATCTCTTTAAATATTTTTCCAATATATTTTCTTTCCTTTGCTTCTAGGAACGTACTGTCAGTGACATGTTTAAATTCCCAGGCTATGGTCAACAGGAAAAGAAAACTGAATCAGGTTAAGAAATTACCTTTATTTATTTTTTTGCTATTTATTAGTAATATAAAGAAAATTATGATAATTTTATGACAGAAAGAAAATCCATAATTTGCCTTAAGTGAATCTTATTGTGTTAGGGAATAAGTAGAGCTTCATTATAGTTTTAGTATATACATTTTTTTTATTAATTTCAATGAACATCTACAGAGATTTTGGATTTCCATTCATTGTTGCACTTTTCTCCCTGCCCCCCACCCCCACCCCCAGTTTGCTCTTCTCCTTGAAAAGCAACAGAAAAACTCCTTCATTGGTACACAGTCCCCCCCGCATATCCCCACCCCCACCCAGAGTATACTCCACTCTTCAACTCTCATTCGGACTCTTATGATAATCATAATGCCCTAAAATATATTACTTTTAAACTATTCTCTCCCTCATTGGCTTCAATGCAGTAAACATAATTTATCCAGTTTTTCTCAGTCTTACCCCCACCCTGATGTCAGCCTCATTCTACAACAGTGGCACCATATAGTATTTGTTCTTTTGTGACTGAGATATTTCACTCAGCATAATGTCCTCCAGGGTCATCCATTTTGAATAATATTGCATGAGTTCCTTGGTTTTGTGGGTTTTTTTGTTGTTCCTTTTTTTGAATGCAGCATAGTATTCCATTGTGTGAATATACCACAGCTTCTCTATCCATTCATTTGTTGATGGGCACTTAGGTTGTTTCCAACTCCTTGCTATTGTGAACAAAGCCACAATAAACATGGGTGTGCATATATCTGCTTTTTTTTTAATGGAACTTACATAGCCAAATTTTATTATCATTTTAAACTTGGGCAACTATTTACACGCATTTTAAACTTCAGCAACTATTTACTGTCATCCTGAATTTGGTTTACTATGATGTCTGAGCTTCTCCTGCCATCAAATATACCACAAAGTGTCAGTAAGAAGTTCAGTAGTGGAAAATACTATTCATTCAGCCTTGTCGAAAATTTCTTTTAGGGGCTGACGTCGTTAAGGGTGTTCAGTTGTCGCTGTTGGTGGGCAAAAAATACAGCCAAGATGCTGCGGAATCTGCTGGCTCTTCGTCAAATTACCCAGAGGACCATAAGTACTGCTTCACGCAGACAGTTTGAAAATAAAGTTCAAGAAAAACAAAAGCTGTTTCAGGAGGATAATGGAATTCCAGTGTATCTAAAGGGTGGGATAGCTGATGCCCTCCTGTATAGAGCCACCATGTTTCTTACAGTTGGCGGAACAGCATATGCCATATATCAGATGGCTGTGGCTTCGTTTCCCAAGAAGCAGGATTGACTTCAAATTATCATTCCAGCTCTGGCTTCAGTTTCATTCCGTGCCCTGTGGACCAGTAATCTGATCAAAAGAGCTCTTCTTTGGGGATCACTATTTATTGACTTGCACTGTCACCAATAAAGCAGTCTTTACCATAAAAAAAATTTCTTTTAACAGAGTCACTTAATAAAGCAAGTATCTTAGTGTTCTATGTGAATGACACTTCAAAAAATAGAATTTTATTCTCTTATAGTTTAGTGTAGACTTGTTGTTGTTGTTATGTGCCGTCGAGTCGTTTGCGACTCATAGCGACCCTGTGTACAACAGCCCTAAACCCTGCTCTATCCTGTGCCAATCACATTGCCTCTGACACACCCATCCCGATTACCCCAGTCACTGAATCAATCCACCTCAAAAACGGATGACTCTGGAGGACATTATGCTGAGTGATATATCATGGTCACAAAAGGACAAATACTGCATAGTGCCACTGTTGTAATACGAGACATTGGGGGTGAGGGGAACTTAAGCGGGGATAAATGGTGTATACTGCATTGAAACATAAGGGAGAGAACTTTTTAAAAGGAATATATGATTAGGTATTTTCATCACAAGAGCTGCATAGTAAAGTGGACTTGGTGGGGGAGGATTGTATAACAAGAAAGAATATTATTTTTTCTTCAAGGAGAAGAGCAAACTGAGAGGAGGGGTAGGAAGGGAGGAAAGTACAACAATGTATGAATGAAATCCAAAATCTCTGTAAACTTTCCTTAAAATTATAACAAATAAATGTTTTTTAAAAGTTTAAAAATGAGGATGAAAAAAAAAGATGTGTCTGATCTAAGTCTTGACATTGTCACTTGCTTCCTATGCATCTAAAATTTGGACAATGAATAGTGAAGAATTAAGAAGACTATGTCCTTAAAATGTGGTTTCAGCTAAGAGTATTGAATATCCCATGAACTGCCAAAAGAACAGATCCGTCCTGGAGAAAGTGCAACCAGAATGCTCCCTAGAGGCAAATATAGGGAAATGTCATCATACATGCTTTGGGCATGTTATCAGAAGAGGCTAGTTCTTGGAAAAACACATCATGCTGGGAAAGATTGAAAGTGAGCAAAAAAATAAGTCCTTTAGTGAGATGGAATGACACAGTGTCTACAGAGGTGAACTTGAGGGTGGCGGAGATGATGAGGATGGTGCATGATAGGGCAGGGTACCGACCTATGGTTCATAGGGCTGCTATGAGTTGTAATTGAACATACCATGGACTGCTCAGAGAACACGTTCGTCCTGGAGAGGGTGAAATCAGGCTGCTCCTGAAGGCAAGGATTTTGAAGCTCCATCTGACATATTTTAGGCATGTTGCCAGGAGGCCAGTTCTTGAAGATGTGCATCATGCTTTGAAGGGTGGAGGCACAATACAGAGAGAAGGATCCTGGATAAGATGGATTGACAACAGTGATTGTGACAAAGGGGTTAGGTGTGTCAGAGATGATGAGGTTGGCTAAGGATAGGACAGGGTTCAGAGCTGTTGGGCATAGGGTAACTATGAGTCGCAAGCGATTTGACAGCACATAACAACAGGAGTTGTAGTCAGCTTGACAGCAGCTAGCAATGACAAGTGGTGAGATCATAACTACGTTTTGAAGGTTTTAATTTTACCTATAGACTTGGTCATTTACTCCTCCAGTATTCCCTGAGATAAAATTGGCTATTTTCTTCCTAAATAGATTTCTTTTTGATAGTAGCTTTGATTTAAGTTCTTTCTTGTTGATAATAAAAATTGTAATAATATTTTCCAGTATGCATATATATAGAGATGATAGTTATTGTTTCATATAAAAGAAAATACTTTTTTATTATTATTTTAAAACAGCTATCTCTCTTATCAAAGATGAAGATGAAAGTATTCCAGATCAGGTAAGGAGATTTTTCCCAATAGTTATTGTCTTAAAGCAAAATAAGACATTTGTAAATGAAATAATAAAGAACCCAATAAGTTATTGAAGTGTTTTATAGTTATTTTTGTTTTGAAAGTGTTTGGACTGCCTTAGCTACAGTTAAGTAACATTAAATTCTACTCCTGTAGAAGGAAATTTCTGTATATAATAGTTGTTGTTATGTGCCATTGAGTGGCAAAAAATGCATATAGGAACATAGAGGACAAAAGGTGCTGAGGAAAAGGAAATAACAAATCAGAAAACTGCATGACGTTTTTAGAAATGTGCTCCATAGACTAAACCACATTATTTACTCTTTTCATCCAAAGTTTTTCTCTGAACACATTTTTAAACTTTTATTATGATATAAAAAGTCTTATACTAGAAAGCAATAGATAAAAATGGAAAAAAAAATGTAGAAAAGGTTTTACAAATTAAATTATATTGTTTTTTGTATTATTTGCTTTTAAACTTTCATTCTTTTGTGATTTTATATTTTCCTTCATGCTATTTTGCTATTTAAGTTTTCTTTTATTGCTTTTAAATTTTCTTATATTTAATGATACATTGGAGATAGTAAAATGTCAATTTCCCCTAGATATTAATTTTAAGATGTATACCATCCTTTACTTTTATATAATTATTCTTTTTTAATTGATTTTAATGAACATTTACAAAAATTTTGGATTTCCATTTTTCATTGTTACATTTTTCTCCCTGCCCACCCCACTCCCCCAGTTCGCACTTCTCTGTGAAAAGTAAAATTCCTTCATTGGTATACATTCCCCCACAGCTTTCATATAATTATTCTCTACACATTGTTTCATTCATGTGCATTTTGTTTTATACAATCATGTCTGTACCTTGTGTTTTATATCATGAATTACTATTGTTCCTTTGCTTTTGTCTCCCTGTCTCCTCAAATCTGCATTATACCCAAAGTATTTCTTAACCTCCATCTCCCCACCAATCCTGCTGTCCTAGTGATTTCCTTTTCCTTCTTCTATCCCTCTTCTCCTCTTTCTCTATTAAACAGTTTTATATATATAATCCTTCTCCTGCTGGTGTATTTGAACCACGTGCCTTTGGGATTGTAGCACAGCTTCTTACCACTAGGCCACCAGAACATGCGTGCACTTGCTCTCTCCCGCTCACTCTCTCCCTCTCCCTCTCTCCCTCTCCCTCTCCCCCTCTCCCTCTCCGTCTCTCTCTCTACACACACACACACACACACACATATAACTTGTTGAATGCTATCAAGTCAGAACTGACTCATAGGTGACCCTCCAGTGGGTTTTCAGAGGCAGTTAATTGCATGGGAGGAGACTGTCCATCCTTTTCCCACGAAGCAGCTGGTGGCCTTGAACTGTGTGCCTTTGGGATTATAGCACAGCTTCTTGCCACTAGGTCACCAGACCTTATATCCATCTGTCTGTCTGTCTGTCTATCCTCTATCTATTGTACATCTTTTGTGTGACTGTATGTATTTGCTGTTTGTTAATTGCAATAGCCAGGACTGTCTTTGTCTTTATCTCACTCTCCCCAGGTTGATCCTCTCTTGACTTGGTCCTTGTAGTGTTCTTTGTCTACTCATGACATGCCTCTTCTTCTTCCTCTCTACTCCCCCACCTCTCACTTAACCTCCTGTCATCACAGTAGCAGTCTTTTATCATATTTGTCCTTTTGTAGCTGAATTATTTAGCTCAACGTCTGATACTAATTTTGAGATATTTCTGCCTTACAGAGTTTGGATTTATGAGTACGACTGCTTTATTTAAAAGCATGGTCATCTTTACCAACAGTATTTCATGGTCCCTCATTTCAGGCATATAGAGAACAGACAAACTCAGGCTTGCAAATCTTTCAAGTCATATATATTAGAAATACAACAATTTACAAATATTCATGACCGTTTGTTGTTATTGGAAAGAAATGTATAATTGATTTTAAGTCATTTTACTAAATTTGAGTATTTTCTCACCAAGAATGATTCATTAATAACTTTTTTATTGAAATGTCTTTTTAGCCAGTGGATTTTGATAAAACTTTACCAACCTTGACGCTGACAACTTTGAAGCAATCGACCCAAGATGTCTTAGATGGCATTTCTCTTAAAAGTGTTGAACCAGAAAATGAACCATACCAACCATCCCCATATTCTCACTTTTCCACTGTTAAAATAGCAAATGAAAACAAAGAACCATATGAAATTTATCCACCAACAGAAGAATTGAAAGCTCGATATCCAAGCTCTAGTAAAACAGACTCTCCTCCACCCGAGGTAAAGTTCAGAAGTGTCTCTCTGAATGCAAGTAGAATAAAGAGAAGGGACATGGATTCATCTCCAGCAGAAACTCTCTGCCAAGGTTATAGAGTAGGCTTTGCTGGGAGAAAGGGCATAAGCTTAGTTTTCCCAGGTTCAAAATCAAATGATAGTTTTCAAAATCGAGATCCAGAAGAAGACCTTTAACTAATGGTGTGTGCCCTTACGTTGGAATTATGAGATAAGGAAGAACAAAAAAGGCTTTGCCAAAATGCTAGTTACTTCACTTAGGTCTTTAAATGATATTTCAATAATAATTGGACATAAATTATAGAACAGTGTAAAGGTCAAAGGGTAAAGAACGTAGCATGGCTCCACCTCTGAATATTTTAACAAACTTGAGAATCTAAATGCCTAGACCTAGGTTCTTATTTTGTGAATGGTAAGGCATTTATAAGAAAAAGATAGCATTTAATTTTAATATAGCTAGCTGGAAAAGAATTCCTAATTACCGAGCTCAGTAGTTCGGCCAAGATGATTTAAGAAGAGTAGCTTACTTAATATGAAAGTGATGCACACCAATGGAAAATTTAGAAATGGAAAAAGCATAAAAAATATAAAAATAGCTATAATTCTATTTCCATTCATTATTTGTTATGCATATATTTTTTAAAAAACTTTCAAACTTATATACATTTTTACATTATGCTTTTAAACAAAGTTAAGATTATAAGCATATTGCCCAAATTAAAAAAAAGTCCGGTATGAAGACTATGCTCATATACAAATAGTCTACAGTTCTTTTAAACACTCTCCATGTTACTGGTCATTATGTTTGAAATTTACATTTTTTTACTTATTTGAATCTGTGATAATCTCTTCATATAGTGATAGAAATGGCATGTTGCATTGATTTCCATAATGATTATCCCATTTTATATTGTCACCACATACTTTGAGCATGTTGCAAGGAGGGACCAGTCCTTGGAAAGGGACATTATGCTTGGAAGGATGGAGGGACAGTGCAAGAAAGGAAGACCCTTGATGAGATGGATTGACTTAGTGACTGGGAGGGATAATGAGGGTAGCTGTGTCTGAGAAAATAATGTTGGCACAGGATAGAGCAGGTTTTAGGACTACTGTACATAGGGTTGCTATGAGTCACAAGCAACACAGCACATAACAACAATAACATTGTCACCAATTATATTGAAATACTAATGTTTTAAAAACAATGATTAAAGTGTTTCCATTCTTTCTTCCCTTTTTTTTTAATAGAGAACTTGGATTTTTCCATTCATTCATTGTTGCACATTTTCCTCCCTGCCCACCCCTCCCCCTAATTCACTTTTCTATTTCAGAAGAAGAATGCTTTTAAAATGACCTTTTTATCTTAAGAATAATAGCCACTTGTCAAGTCATGGTCTGTGCTTTCCCATCCTTTTTAGTTTGACTTTTGATTTCTATATCATATTCAGCATGACTTCTAAAATCGTTGGTTTTTATATGAGGATTGTGCTGTTTATTACTCTTTTTTTTTTCTTTTTTTTTC